TCCGCCTTTGAAAAGTTGATCATAAAATTCTGCTAAACGGACTGGAAAGTTACATTGGCCTTTTATGACCTGTTCTTCAATGGTTCTTCTCATACTTAAAGGACAGAACATCCTGAGTTTTACTTGGCAACTTTACATCCGATGATTTCAGCATTCACTGTGGGGTGCCACAAGGTTCAGTTTTCGGTCCACTATTACTTAGTCTTTACATGCTCCTTCTTGGTACCGTACAGAAACACAATATCTCCTATCATTCGTATGGCAATAATACTCAGCGATATATTTCACTTTCCCCAGATAAGCTTGATCCTTGAATGAACTGGTCAGATACATGTCTCAACATTTTCTACAACTTAACAGATATGATAACACAGAAATTCTGATTGTAGGACCACAAAGGCAGGGGCTCATATCAATGTCATCATCTTTTCCTCTTCAGCACAGTGAGCAAGTGAAAGACCTGGGGGTCATAATTGATACAGATCTAAACGTCCTGAACCAGATAACAACTATTACAAAGACAGCCCTCAATCATTACGAATATTTCCAGACTAGGGTGCTTCATGTACCAATCCGACTCTAAAAAACCGGTCCATGCAATTTTATCCAGCAGATTGGATTTCTGTGATTCCCCCAATGCTTGACTTTCTAAAAAACCAATAAACAAACTCCATCATCCAAAACACCGCACCAGAGTGCTAACACTGACAAAGAAAATAGAACCTATTACACATATTCTGAAAAATCTTCATTGGCTTCCAGTCCAGAACAGAATTGAATTTGAAGTGTTACTTCTCGCCTACAAAGCTCTAAATGGTAAGCCACTTCAATATCTTTCTGAACTGCTCACTGACTACAGCCCAGTCAGATTCCTCAGATCCTTAAGTCCAAACTTAGTAACAAATAGCATGCTGATCTAAGGTCAGAAGAAACTTTTATTTCCTTCAAGAGAAGTCCTAAAACATTGCCTTTCTCTCATACACTCTTAGAAATTCCCCCTGTTAAAAAACGGTAAACAACTGGCAGTAGGGCTGCCAGGAAGTTACTGTAAAATTAACGGTATATTACTGTTGCTTAAATTTACAGTTTTCTACCGTTTTTGTAAATACAGCAAAAAGCTGTGATTTTAAACCTTAACAGGAAAATACTGTCTTATTAACTGTTTGATACTGTTTATTTGCAGATTTTTACTGTGAATTGTAAATACTACACCTTGCAATAGATTAATTTCCTTCTACCAAAATGGGACACAATATATTTATTTTCTAAACCTAGTGATTTGATAAATGATTCCAGCCCAGCTAATCATCATTTCTAATTCAATATTTAAATCAATAGTCAACAAAGAAATGTTAGCTAACCTTACCATTCTAGTACAACCAGGCAAGCAAGTCATGTTCATTATAGCCCACTTAGTTAACCACATTACAAGAAAATGTTTTGTTTTTTGTCCCATTTAGCTGTATTTCAAGCTAATGTTAGCTGGCAAAGAATTCACTCACTGTGTGTGTGTCTGCCTGCAGTGTTTCTGTGTAATTTCCAAATCTAGCTAACATTAATCCCACAAATGACTTCAAACTTAGTAAGTGATGGTTTTTGCCAATTCTAACTAGCAAAGCAGTAAGGCACTCACCTCTTAATTGTCAGGATGGAGATGGATGACAATCGGGCAAAGCCAACTCCACTGTCCTTTCAACCATGTGCTTTCAACTTCTTTTTCCCCAAATCCCAATTTACAGCAATTTCTTAGAGTGTACCGTTGGCTGTTAATTTGTTTGTGTGTGTGTGTGTGTGTGTGTGCGCGTGTACATATGTATGGTTGGAGTATGTAGATGTATGTGTTGTATGGGTTGGTGAAGGGTCATTTTATGAATTTGTTTTGGATTTTAAATGTGCTCATGAATCTATTTGTTCATTTTTAATGTTATTTTTGTGTTTGTTTATTGATTTCCTCTCCACTGAGTTTACATTTGTATGAAATGTGATATACAGATGAATTGAATTCAATATGATACCTTTAAGGGAACATATGTCCTGTTTCTAGGAAACCATTGAAGTTAACTGCATCATTAATGTTTTCCTTTCTTTTTTTATATGTCATATAAAATATGTCAATATAACAGAGGCAAACTAAGTCATTCTTATTCAAAGTCATACACTGTTTTTTTTTAGACGTTCCGGTTAAAGTGCCAATTATATCTAAGGCTAGAGGTCACCAACACAATCAAAATGACTTGATTTCTGGGTCGCAAAAGGGCATAGGGCAAATTGTTAGGTCGCGCACCATGTACGGAGGCTGTAGTTCTCCAAGCAGCGGCCGGGGTTCAATTTAGGCCTGTGGCTCCTTTCTCACATATCATTCCCCACTCTCTCTCCTTGGTTTCCTACTCTACCCACTGTCCTATCGAATAAAGGAAAAAAAGCCCCCACAAAAAATCTTTAAAATTACTGGATTTCAATAAAATTATTTCAAAGTCTTAATCACGTGTGTGTGTGTCATTTTTATGCCACAAAGAGTCATTTTATCTTGTTTTAGTTGAAGCTATATTTTTTTACGCTTAACCCCTCATCCTGGCAAGTCAGGATGCTGGCTGTTCGTCTAGGAAGCCTCATCAACAATGACAGTTGGGTCCAAAAAGACATCAAAACTAGACAAGGCTCAGATTGCCTTCTCCCAATGCCACCTCATCTGACTTTCCAAGAAATATTGCCTGAAAACTAAGATGCTCTTATATAACAGCAATGCCAAGTCTGTTCATACTGTATGGTGAAGAGAGCTGGCGAAAAGTGAAGTGAGTAGAGTGGAAGCTTTTCACGACAGATGCCAATCTGCCAGATATTATGGCCAAACAAAATATCCAACCTCCATCTCTTCAAAGAGAAACAGGGAGCAAGAGCACGATCAAGGAAATTGTATACAAACGTCTGAGATGCCCAGGTTGCAAGAGTTGTCTTGAGGTGGACACCACCAGGCCTCGTCCCATAGGGGATGAACTTCACTCAGGACGATGCACAAGTGATGCAGTTGGGCGACCCCAGTCAAACAAGTCTAAATATGTCCATGTGTCTTTTAATCGTAGCACTAATGAGCACATATCTTATCAGTTACACTTTTCACAAATAAGTCTTTTTTCAACTATAGGCAGCCAGAAGTAACAAAAGAAAAATAGTATTCATGCCAGAAAACAAATGCACTCAAAGGCCTTCCTATGATAGAATAATGTCTAAAATGTATCTTCTTTCTGACTTCAAAGGATTCTTATTGTGGCCCCAGCAGCGTACCGTTTTATTTCTTATGCCATGCAGTATCAATCTGGATGGATACAGAGATGACTAACTCTTTCTGTCTCCCTTGACCATAAGAAAGCAGCTGTTTACACATACCTCCAGTGTCTCTGCAAAGTGTAACAAAGGGTGGCTGCTTTGATGGAGCTGCTGCCAGGTGAGCTTGTTTGATGATCGTGTGTGAAACTATATGAACACAATGATACAGAAAAACAAGTGTTGAAGGAAAAAAAAAAAAGAGAACAGCGTCACATTGTTTTATATTGTAAAGCCAGTGAACACTTTGAACATCTTGTTGGGCTACATGTTGTGAATGCTGTCAATCGATGTTGCTCTGTATGTGTGACGAATGCCTCGTATAAATTGCATTGTCAATGTATGACAAGCTCTGAAGCAAATCCTCAAATCCAGGTCACTAAGTAGAGCAAGAGGACGTTAAATTGTGTTTTCTCTCTGCTTTTTGTGTGTGTTTGCAGTTTTTACACAAACTGTTTTCTTAACATCATCACCAAACCAGAAAAACAAGACTTCCACTCCCCTGTGATAATTGTTATAAGTGGCATCATTTCCACGTTACCTCCAAACAGTTGAACACACTAATACTTGTATCTCAAATGTTTTTTCTGTCACTAAAAGTATACAAGTATATCACTTATATACAAGCTTATGAACAATTTGTTCGGTCCCAATGTGCTTCACTCTGAGAGAAGAAAGGCAAAAGTGTAAATTTTTCATCGGGCGGAGAATGAGACGGGTTTCAGTTTCTGTGGGTGATTAATAAATGATGGGGGAGACACAGAGAAAGAGACAGAGAGGGAGGATGTATTAGCATGTGTTTGAGAATGCAGAGCCAGAGCCAGTGTGTTTATAATTCAGACTGTTTCTGTGTGTGAGTAACAGGTTAGTCGAAGTGGGATTTGGGCCGGAAAGGAAATGTAAATGAATGAAGGTGTAATGTGTGAATGCATAGGGACATTTCTCCCTCCACCCTTACAAGGCTGACACCTCTAAATTCTTGCAATACCTTTTTACTTGTGCAATACCTTTCATTAAAACACTGTTTGCACTGTGACTGTAGGCTACTTGCCCCTATTGACATGGTGTTCATTTTTAGCTGGCAGCCCATTTGCTCTATTTATTTATGTTTAGCTCCCCTTTAACTTTTATCTTAATTCATTTAGATTACTAAATGCTCCTTAGGTTAACGTTTTTATCTTTTGGAGCCACAGATCTTTTATTTGACTGATCATTCTAGTGTTTTCATTTTGTATCCAGTCTGGCTGGCCTTTAATCAGTCTGTCTAATATCAGTGTCTCCTTTTGAGGTCTTATCTATGTTTTTAACTAATCTGTTGCTTGTACCTCAACTTGTCTTTGTTTGTGTTTCTTTCTCATGCTCCACACCAATTGCCCCAAGAGGGATTAATAAAGTTGTTTGAATTAAATTGAATTTGATTTTTTCTTCTTCTTACACTTACTGAGAGTAAACAAATCTTTAATGAAGGATAAAGTGATCAACAGAGAAAAAAAAAAAAAAACCTCCACAACAGACAGAAACCCCTCCGAAGATTATTAACATGTGTCAACAAATACTAAACTTTATCTACCTGGAGTGAGGCAGTCCATAGGTTACAGTGTACACCTGTAAATGCCTTTGTTTGTGTCCCTACCAAATAGGCTACACAGTTGCACAACACACCGCCAGAGCTTGCTTGCTGTGTCACAGTCCTGTGAGCCTCAGGGTGTGTTACCTGGCCCGGGCAGATTCCGCCTGCATGTCAGCTTTTCTTACCCTGGGAAAAAAAAATTCTATGGCATCTCTGTTAGTCTGCAGGGGTTAGCTCAGAAAGTTTCTTATTTTAGCTTGCCACACATTAATTAGGCGGTGGAGATCTGAGGAGGGGACAGGTTTACCTCACAGAGGCGGAGGAGTTCTGAAAGGCTTCATTCATGAAAGGCTTCATTGCAGCGGGCTGCTTTTGACTCGGTTATTCACGAAACAGCTGGGAAGGCAGCAGAAGCAGTGTAAACATGGTAAGACCTTTCTCTCTCTCTCTCTCTCCATATGACTCTGCTGGTGGTGTGCCTCCTCAGAAACGCACCGGGCTTTTAGTTAATCGTTTTTTTTCGGTCGATAAGACAATTTGAGGACTTTGCCTGGCTGGATATCATGTCATGGCCGCTGTTTGTTTTGGTTTTATGAAGTCTTAAATTGGCGTAAAAAACCCGTCAGAGCCTCTAGGAGTGAGACTTAATGTCAACAAAGCTTTCAGTGTAGTGTATAGGCTGTGCAACGTCGTTTTAGGCTATGATTGTCAACTGCTTTTTTTTTTATAGGCTACGTTTTATTTCATGAGTAATAAAAATGCGAACCTGTTCTGACATGTCTGTAGACTTAATATGCCGTTCAATGTCTTAATCAGAAGGCCTACCCAACAAGAAAAAAGACTTTCATTTAACTTAATTAAAGTGGTAGTTCCACTCCAACGCCTGCAGGCACAATGTGTTTGTGGTTCAAGAAAGTGTTCAGTCATAATTAAAACTTTTGTCACGTCATTAAAGGCCTCTTGAGTTATAGCCTAATTTAACAAGCCTCTTTTAACCCAGATTAAGATAGGCGTAGTCTACTTGCTCAGAGAAAAAGACGTCAAAGAGTTAAATTCTTTGCTTCAGCAGTATGGAAACACTGACTTGAGCTGCCCGCCAACTGAATGAAGGGGCAGGTCCAAACAGTCTATGGTTCAAACCCAAAGACTGAACTGAACAGGCCCTGAAAAAAAACAAAAAAACCCACAGTCAGTGCGTCATTTCCCCTGGAAAACTTTGTTTGGAGACGGCCTAATGCTGCCTTCAAGTGCTGACACAAATGTAGGAGTTTCAAGGTCTCCACACATGAGCTACCTGGACAAGTTGTTTCAACAAGACTTCCCAGACCCCAAACCAGATTCATTACATCAAACGACAAACTAGAACGTTTAAATGTTTTAATTTCCTTTTTCTGCCGTTAAAATAAATACTTAGTATTCTCATGCTGCTTTTCTGTGCTTTTGTCTTTGCTGTTGCGTGTGTTAATAAACCCCAACATCAAATTTGGACTCGCTTAGCCCGAGGTCTCGCAAGTGACTCACATATTTGACATCTAAGCGACATTTGAGGTTCCAGTCTGTGACGTGTCAACATTTAGGTGTCACTACACATCATTGTTTAGTATTCTATGCGATGGTAATAATCAGAATTCTGAAATGTATGAATGCATGCATTAGGCCTATGTCATGTCAAACCTATGCTTCATCCGTACGTTTATCATTCCTGTATCATGTCTGTGCTGTGACAAATATCACTTAATATGCATTGACAATAACAGCATTGCTGACTTGCATCGAGACTCAACAGAAAAGTGCCTTAAATTATTTAGATTAGAGAAGTGAGAACAGAGATTAAACCAAAACTTCTCTTGACTTTTTTTCACCCCTTCAAAAAAAACAACAAAAGAACACATACTGTAGAGACAGACACCTCCATTAAAAATGTTTTTTTTTTTGACTAAACTCTTGAGTTGCTAAGTTATAAAAACCAAAGGAATACAATTAATAACTAAGTATAAAATAAAAAAAATGATTTAATAGAGATTCGGTGCACGTGTTTGACATTTTATAGCCTTAAGAGTATCTAAGTAGATAGATAAGGGTGTGACATATTCACTATTATTGCTGATTAGTTTATTATTGCTGACATATTCACTATTATTGCTAATTAGTAGCAATAAATCTAATAACACCTCGGTTTAGTCATTAGCCAGACTTACACATGTGCACGGCTCTCAGGTGGCTGGTCCACTTGTTGACACTCGTTTAAGAAGTTTACGAGCAGCACATGAAGGCATCACTTTACCACAGAGTTGCGTGCGCTCCGCTGGAGGGGCAGGACTTCTTCAGCGCCCACAGTCTGCCGATCAGTGCAGTTTATGGATGCTTCAACTGGATGAGAGGTGGACTTAAAAACTTAGTGTGTGGATCAGTTAAGACATGCATCTAAGTGCAGTTTCTGGACTGTACACACTGAGAAGTATTTTCCTTTTCGCGCTGGGAGAAAAAGTTTTCTTCTAAATATTAAAGAAGGGTGAGTTGATTTTTGAATGTACATGCTTTAGTATTTGATCAAATTAAGAAAGTTAAGGATAGAGCTCTCTCTCTCTTTGCCAAAGCAGAATATCTTTTTGAAATGATAACTCTGCTGTTTTTGAAAGTGCCTGTGTTTTTTAATATCCTGGTGGAATGATTTTGTGTTTGTTTTATGCTCTTTAGGAGTTTTTGTTCTAAACCAAAATCATGTTCACATCCTACATAAAGAATCTGAATGATATGGTATTTTCTACGGTAAGCGTACAGGTTATAAGCACTCATGCATGTCTTTGCAATGCTGAGAGATGCATGGCCATACTAAAAAATGTCTTTGAACACACAACCCCTACTTATATGTCATTTAGACTCCAAGCCTGCACTCCTTTCCCTTTGTCCATTGGCAGTTCATGGTATATGCACCACCACGTGTAGCTACTGTCAGTGCATATTCATTTGAGATAAACATGTTTACAAGCTGCCTCTGCACATGGAAAGAGATATTTATGTGAGTTATTTCTCTGCTTTCCTTTAGTCTGAGACCCCCGAGGAGCAGCCGAGTACTGGGGTCTTGGGTCGTATTGGGAGCTGGTTTTCTCCGTGGAGGGGAAAGGGTCCTAAAAGTCCTTCTGAAAATGACTCCCCGACTTCCGACCAGGTTTTTAAGTCAGAGGGAGAAGAGGAGGAGAGTGAGGATTCTCTGAGACGCAAAGCAAGGGGAGAAGAGCAGCTCTCCAGAAACATTTTCCTCTTTGAAGGCGAGGACGCCACGCAGTCTGCCCGCAGAGTCAGCTCCGTTGTGAGCAGCACTGAGACAGCCGGAGGAGGTCCAAATGAGGAGGAGTTTGTTGGGTGGAGGAAGGAGAGAACAGGGCAGGGCAAAGACAGGGAGGAGAGCAGCAACGGTACTTCAGAGAGCGGGAATCCTGAGAGGAATGCCAGCCATCTGACACATCTCTCTTCTCTTCCTGAGCGGGGAGTGTTGTGGGACTCTGACCGAGCCCACGCCCAGCCTCAGGCCCAGAGACAAGCACAGGCCCAGACAGGCAAAAGGCTCCATGTGTACCTGGAGGAGACCAGCGTGAGTCACTGTGGCAAAGACACACACAGTGCCGGACAGGAAGTGGTCACTAGAATCAAGACAAGCCTACAGGTTCGACCCAAGGCAAAGTCAACAGAGAGTTTTGATCCGCCAGACAGCGCAAGTTCAACAAGTACAGAGAACAAAAGGACAAATGTAACGCCTGCGATTGGGGCACAGAGTTATTACAGTGCCCTAGTGGGAGTGTCACTGAAATCACACAAAGACACACAGTTAGATCCTGAACCTGATCAAAAACAAACAGAAGACGACACTATGGGGCGGAAAAACTCAGCCAAAAGAAGATTCAGGAAGAATTCTCAGGGAGATGGCAGGAACAGCCCTCAGCAGGAACAAAACCCTCCCAGCGCTGTCACAGAGGGAATCCCTACGTCCGACCAGGCAGTGACCAGCCCTCAGGGCGAAAGTCCAAACACTCACACGGGAGAGTCGTCTCTAAACTCCTCCTCTAGACTCAGCCCCTCCCCTCTGGGCTCACCTGAAGGAGGAGAAGGTAAGACTTCCTGTCCTGATTCTGTCGCCCAGCTGGATGAATTCCAGGACTCAAGCTCCACTGTCACAGCATCCACTGTGGCGAGTGTGGTGGATGGAGGCGCAAACATGGAGGACGACAGTCTTTACAAAGTTGAGAGGAAAACAGAGACGCCGGAGTCCAAACGCAGGAGTCTTAAGGTTTCTCGCAGTGAGGTGAAGTTTTTCCCCAAAAACATACCTTTGAAGCAAGTTCCAACGGAGGACACGCAGGATTTTAGGTCAATGCTTAAGAACACCAAAGATGAAGCAAAGAATAAAGCCAAAACAGAGACTGATTCAAGGTAAGTCTTCACTCAAATGTGATTGGTTCAATACACTGCTGTGTTTAAAGCAGAGCCTTTCAATAATATTGCTGATAAAAAAATCATATTTGATAAAGGTAGATGTTAAGCAATGGAAGTAGTGTAAAATCAACTTTAAAGAACATACCATTCATGTTTTAACTAAGATGAAATCGCTGTCAAAACAGGGAATGTGCACTAACTGCTATGGTTGGATTACTGCAGGTGTATCCATAGTGACACAATAGAGTGAGTCATGACACAAAGTACAACACTTTGCAAGGAATGGCATCGCAAAGTTCAGTTCAGATAAAAAAAATGCCAGGTTGACTTAGCAAAACACACACACACATTCAACCGTAATTAGTTTGTGGCTGAAGAAGTCAAGCAAGTTTTAATTAATTATGTTTGGCTTGCCGATTATGATCATGTTTGTTTATCCTTTGTCTCCTATCTTACACAGACAACACAACCTTAAGAAAATTGATGAGGAACCTAAGCCAGTCGTTGGCCGGATCACCGATAAAATCAGCCTCTTTGAGGGCCCTACAGTCGGCGTCAGCAAGTCGACCTTTCAAACGCAGAGGAATGCCGATGTTTCCCCAGTCAGGAAAGCCACAGAGCAGCTGAAAGCAGATTTTTCATTATCCGACCAGAGGTCAAGATCGACTGAACGTGATGACACGCTCAGGTCCAGCTCTGCATCGCCCGCCAGGGAGAAGCCGATGACGATCAAGGAGCGAATGAAGAACTTCACAGACGCATCCAAAGCAGGTGAAAGGGCAGAAAAGCCTCAAAAGCCAGTTATGCCTAGAATGCATCAAAAATCCACTTTATCTGCTGCATCAAAGTCACCAGAACTGGACGATCAGGGTAAACAGGATACTAAAGAGCAAAAGCATACAGATGTAAAAACAGAGAAAACTTCAAAACCAGAAGGACAAGATACGACTGATGCAGGGGTAAAGATTATCACTCCTAAAGAACGACCAAATGAGTCCTCAACAAAGGACACAGTGGCCTCAAAAACAGTAGATCAGGGTTCAAAACCTAATAGTGTTGAAAAGGCTGCTGCAGCTAAAGGGTCAGGTGACTCTACAGAACTGACCATCAGCCTCAGCCCACAGCCAAAAGGCAGAACAGGCCCCCGCTCTAAAAGAAAAAAAAGTAAGGAGCCAACCAGTCCAATGAGCCCAAACATGGACTACAAACTAGAACACTCTACAACAGAACCAGAGGCCACAACTATGAAACCAGAACCGGTGGGTGTTACAGAAAGGGCATCTGCATCCAAACAACCGGCAGAGGAGGTCATACCACCATGTGATACAGCCGACAAGAAGACACCAGACAAACCGTCTTTGTCTGATACCCAACAGAAAGCCTTGAAGAATGATTCAAAGGACTCAGGCAAACAGAAGAAACAGTCCGATTCTTCTTTTAAAAAGGAGAAAATTGACAAACCACTTGAAAGGCAGGGGGGATTGGCTGAACCGTCTGAAAGCAAAGACAAATTTGATACTGATGCTTGTAGCAGTGAAACAAAGTCTCCTGTTGATAAGCAGTCTGTTATTTTACCCCAAAATGACAAAAAAGCAGGGGGTTTGTTCACCCAGGCCTCCAAGGACAGCAGGGAAAAGACAGCCCCCTCCCCCTCACCTGCAGCAGAAAGACCTATTAAGAAACCTCCTTTGAAGGAGCAGGAGCCAACCGCTGAACAGCCCAAATTAAATAAAGACATGTCAGTGCCATCTGAACCAGAGAGGAAAGGAAAAGTAAAGGAACCCAATCAAGGAGAGGCAGGACAAAAAGCGCAATCCAAAACCAAGGACAAAGAACTAATTGAGCAGGCTGAGAGTAAAGAAAGGGACAAATTAAACAATTTAGAAAGCAAAAAAACAAAACAGGCTAAGAGTAAAGAAATTGACAATATAGAAAAGGCACAGAGCAAAACCACTAAACAGGGTGGGCGTAAAGAAGTGGAGACATTAGAAAAGGAAGGGGGCGACAAATACGAGCAGGCTCAAAGTAAAGAGGTGGGAATAAAGGGGAGTGAGAAAACAAATCAGACTAAGAAGAAAGAGGAGGAAAAAACACAGCAGCGCCTGCAGTCAGATAAAAATACCACAAAGACAGAGGGTTCCAACGGTGGGAAAGGTTTCCCAGGTACAGATGGGGCGGCCTTTAGAAAAGATGAAAGAAAGAATGTTGAAAGAAAAGAGGAGACACAGCTCATCAAAAACACAACAAAGCCGAAAACCAACCAACAGGATTCAGCCTCTGAGTCTTCAGTAAAGACATCATCAGACGTCCGAGCTCAAACACAGCATGACAGGCGGAACAAGTCTACACAAAAAGCTGGCGTTGGCACAATCACTCTTGCCAATGAAGCTGCAAGTGGGATGGACAGTGATAAAGGGCCGTTGAAGGGAGAGACGGCAACAAATGTGCAAAAGAAGGCTGCAGAAAGCTCTGGAACAGACAGAGAGTCAGTGTTGACCGCAGCGGATCCAAAGCCTAATTTTGTATCCGTGGAAAAATCTGAAAACTCACTGGATGACTCATGTGCACATGGTGCTAATGATGCTATGCTCTCCAGCTCAAAGCCTATTACCAGAGCAAATACAGCTGATGAGGAAGTGACTGTAAAAGCCAGCACTGACTCTCCAGCACTGATTACTGCGCGGGCTGACAACACGGCAGAGGAGGAAAAGTCAGGAGGTAGTGAGAAAAAGAGAAAGGATGTTACAGAGAAGAGTTCGGGTGTCAAATCAGTGCCGTCAGAAGTCAAAATCTCAGGAGATTTTGCGAAACGTCCTGAGAGAAGCCCACTTAGTGAGGAATCAGAAAATACACAAAGCACAAGGGATATCACACCACTGAAGGGCGCAGAAAAAACAGCACAGATGTCCTTGGATAGCACTGCTTCAAACTCTACAGTCAATGTGGTAGAGAAGACTGCTGATAGAACAATGCAGACACTAAAGAATGAACTTTCTTCTGTTGCTAGTGGGGAAATCTCCTCACATCCACAACCCAAAACTGACATAAAGCAACCAGTCAATAGCAAGCCGGGTCAGACCGAAAAAGTACCAACTTCCCCAGAGTCAAAGAAGCTAATCCAAGACTCAGTCCAGCGTTCACCCATGAAGAAGCTCCAGTTCCACGTGGACTAAGCAAAGATGATTCAGCAACAGGGCAAGACGCCCCCTCCAGCTGGCTGGATGTGGACTTTCCAAAGCGGAAACTCAAAGTCTCCATGGCTAAGCTGACCTCTGCCGGAAGTGAGAGTAACCTTCTGGACGCACCAGATGACCTAGATGATGACGATTTTGTCGAGAGAATCAAGAAACTCTGCGCCCCGTTCTCCCTCCCACCACGTAGACACAACCCGTACGGGACACCTCAGCCACCTTTCGCCTTGCCTGCAATCAAGGAG